GACTCCCGGTGTAAAGGGTCTGGTTGACATACTGGGCCCTCTGTTCCCCTCCAGAGGGAATCACCTATGACAATTACCCTCCTTTTTTTCTCAACAGAGGCAGTCACAATGTGTGGGGCCGACTGTCTCACCTTAGGCGACCCCCTGGGTGGACGTTCATCTTCCTCCCTATTTTCCTGGCCCTCTATCTGTTGTGTAAAGGCAATTGAGAGGGTGAGGAAGGCTGGGAGGGGATTCGCCTGCCCCCCCAGGCTGAGACCTGTTTCCATTCCCTGCCCCCCCGCTTCTCTTAGGTCCCTTCCTTCAGCCTGCTGGCAAGAGGGGAGGGGATCCTCTGCTTCTTGTGAAGCTTCCATCTCCTGCCTTTGTCTCAGGGATGGTAGGGTGAGGCTCCACGCTCCCTGATACTCACCATATCGAACTCATCTAGTGAGTTCACTCCACTGTCAAAACATCCATTTCATGGAACCATATCCTTAGACTTAGAGAGCAAGGGGAAACTTACCATGAGAACTTTATCCATGTAGAATTCCTTCCCAGGGCTCCCATCATTGTATTTTGTATCGATGGCAAAACATAAGAAAAGGACATCAACAACCATTTCATAAATAGAAAGGAAGCAGTGAGCAACCAGGAATGCAAAGAGGCAGACAATGATGAGTGGCAGCACCCAGATGGTGTAATCTCGCTGGTAATTCAGCAACATAATCCCAGCCAAACCTGTACTGCAGACAATCAGGACCTGAAGAAGAAAACAGAAGACAACTCCAATGGCAGAAGCCTTTTGATATTTTTGGATTGGTTTGATTTGTTTTTTTTTAGCCTATATGCTTCTTGCTCTGCCAGGAATAGAACTAGAAGTTACAGATGCTAGTGATAATGACATCTTTACCTCCTAGACTACCCACATCCCTGAGTATAAATGACATTTTATCCATTGGTCCAGCGTGTGCAAATTGGAATAGTTTCAAACACATCCTTCAACGTAAAGGTATTTTTCAGAGCTAATTACATTTTCATCCCTCCGTCATAGTTCCAGTGTTACAGAATATTCCTGTAAAAAATAACTTTATCCTGTCAATTATAAGAGCCCCAGAACCTGATGCTACCAATCAACTAAGGTGCAATTGGTTTTTTGGTTGGGGGGGAGGAGAAGGTAGGTCTTAGAAGATTGGTATGTTTTTCAGTTTGCTGATGTAAACAACTTCCAAGCTTGTCTTGTCTCTGTCTCATTTCCATACAGGTGAAAGTGTAGCAGAATTCATATGTGGCACTTCATGTAATAGTCTCCACAGAACTATACTATGTGCGAGGCCCTAAGGGATAAACTTCACTGGGCACCAGTTTGGTCTTTGGGAATAACAAAAGGACTAAAACCATTGTTGTGGCCACTCAATATTTTGAACATTGCTGAGCCTATTATTAGGAACTGCAGCTAAACATGAAATTGGAAAATAGGTCACCCTTACTGTATTATGAAAATATTGGGTTGGACTGCTAGTGGAGACAGGCTGGCAGCCTAGCACTGGTTTAGCTGATACTATTTTTTATATGCTGCTGTTCATGTTACCATTTTTGTCACCTGTGCATTTCTCTAATAATTTGAAAGACACGTTTTCAGGAAGCTGTTTCCTAACACCTTTCAGATTCCTCCCTAAAACATTATGTAATTTCATGGTCTCCCAAGCACCTATATCTTCATTATGTGTTTATTTCTTCTCACACCTTATTGATTTAATTAGTGGATTAAAACCCACTGTACCTTGACTTAATAAAAGTAGAGGAATGTAATAAGGAAGATAGTTCAGTCCAACCAACCATACTTAGGCACAGGTGATTTAAGTGCGTAGGTATTAATTGTTTTAGTAAAAAATGGCACAAAATCCTTCAAAGGATAGGAATAATTCACCGGATTAAGTTTCCATAAAGTACATGTCCATCAGCTGGAGATCCAAAAAATGCTGACTGACCACAGCAATTATTCTAGTCTCCTTTTAATTCTCAGAGTAGAGGTAACTTAGTTGCTTAAGCTGGCAGTTCCTCAGAGCAGGTTTCTGTACTACCTTCCGGGCCAAGTTTGTCATAAATGTTGATCAATAATGTGTTAATTTTCAACACAAACTTGGAGAGCCCTTACTAAAAAGAATTTAGAGGAAACACTTCCTTTCTGTCCTGGTTTTGTCTGGGACAGAGCTAACTTTCTTCACAGTAGCTAGTAAGAGGCTGTGTTTTGGATTTGTGTTGAGAAGGCTGCTGATAAGATACTTACAATTCTAGGTTTTAACCCCAAAACCAAACAGAAACTTAGAACTTCCAATCACTTTTCTTTTGACTCCCTAAAAATAAATTAATGCAAAAGGTGTCATCATCTTCAGCTATTCCTTTCTAATCACTTCTACTTAACATAAGTGGATCATCTGTTTATCCTCCCTATCCCGGACAGCCCCTTCCTGATATGATATGATATAATATGCAGCTAGATGTAATAAAGTGCATGCTAAGAAACAGGAATTTTAAGGCATTTCGTATTTGGGGTGCCAGCCTTTGCTAAGGAAAGCTTGCTACTATGTAGGTCTGGAACAACTGTATACAGCAGACATACCTTTCCTAGAAACAGCATAAAATCCCCAACTGTGTTTATGGCAGCCACTCGCAAAGCATTTTCCACTAGAATAACAAAGGCATCCTTTGCTGAGGTGCAGAAATTGGTGCTGTTGATAGCTGTGGCTGTATATGCATTCTGGGAAAAGAAGATTGAAGATTTACTCATGGAATGATCAGATATTTCAGATGGAGGTGGGGAAGGAGAGGGGCAAGATATGGCTTCTGAATAAGTCATGTAAGTCATATGATATTAATGAACAAATATTCCCTTGAGAGGTGTTGAATCAAGCAATATGTATCAGCTGACAGAGGACTATACAAAGTAGAAAATTACTATTCTTTCCTCCCTTGCTCATCACTTATGCATTAATAAGTTGATTCCAAAAAACTAATTAAACAGAATTTGCAATTTCTCTGCAGGAAGAAGTGAAAAGTGGTATAGCTACAGCAATTAAGTAGTTCGAAAAAATATTCTGGCAATATAAAAGAGCTTGAGAGTCATACAAGTCCACCAAGATAATTTCTAGATGCTTCACTAGCCTGCATTCAAGGTTAGCCAGGACAATTTTCAAGGATTACACTGTGTTTTTAAAAATGCTTTCTTCTGATTCTATTTTCTGTATTTCCACAAGCAAAAAAAATGAAAAACAGTGAAAAATACAATAGATATTTACAGATGTACTTAACAGAAGTGGAACCACAGGCCAATAAAACCTCTTTTACAAAGGTGTCTGACCAGACAGCATGTTGCAACCTGATACTCTTTTTCCACTTTGCAGATGATGATCACAACTTTCTATTACATACAGTTTTTCAATTGCATAAACCTTAAATATTACACCTAGAAAAGCTTCACCCTCTTTTCACAGCAAACACATTTTGAAATGCAGATGTAGTTTGACAGAGCGAATATAGGGGGAACCATCAGCAACCACTAAACAAATTGCTGTCAAGTTGACATACCATGTTTGCAGGGATGAATACTGGCTATTTTTCACCTTTGCAATGTAAACAAAGACTGGTGTAGGAACTTGCAGTGTAATTTAAGTAAGGGAGACAAGACTGTAGTACCATCATCCAAGTTCAGTTCCAAAGTACAATACATTATGTAACAGCCTCAGGCTGCATTCTGAGAATATATACACACACAAACACATGTATCTATATTATCAGCCCTTACATAAAACGAATACTGAAAAACTTACCTGATTTAAGTAGGTCAGGCACTTTTCTAGACACCAAAGGCAGCAAATGCAGGCTTTAAGCATACAGCGAGCACAAGCATTTTCCTAGAAAAGCACAGAATGTGGGAAAACAAAGAGTAAAAACAACAGATCTCAAGAAAACAGTATTTCTTTGTGTTTCAGTAACTGAGACTCAGCTTGGTGACTTAAGCAGTCCATCTCAGTTCTATGGTTCTTTAAAGACCAAATGTGCCAAAACAAGACATCCAGCCTCCTACACAGATTAAATTAAATTAGCTGTAAATGCATCAGGCCTTGAGTTTCAGTAAGAAAACTGAATCTGTTTCTCTTACTTTTCCTTTGAGTTGTGTATGAATATACATAAGAATCATTCGTGGTATCTTCACCAGTGTGATAATGAAAGACCCTTTTGCTACTGTTCCTAGGTGGTAACAAACAAGGCGATTAACAGATGCCAAAATAGGAGTAAATGGCAGATCCCTTTTCTCCCTGTCGAAAAGAGAAAAAGAATAAAGTAGAATGATCAATATGTACGTAACATCATTTAGAAATACTACAAATTCTCAGTAAAATAGCATGCAAAAGGAAAGTATTAACCTTACAACTAGCTTTCAGGGTATACTGCTCGCTCCTCACTGACAGTCTGCTCAAGTCACAGTTTTGGCTCTAATGCAGCAACGGGAACAGGATAAGGAATCAGTATGTCTTAAGGGTAGTCTTACAAGCAGTTTGCTGCATGACTGCTATTGCCAACTAGCAGATTCTATAAAACTACATTTGATGACGTGCAAATCAAGTATTAAACCTTAAAATAAGCTACTTTATTGGAACTTGTCTAGAATACTTTTAATCTAGCAGATGAATGCTCACTTTCACAGCTCTGAAGCAATTCCCTCTTAAAGTTTTTATTTATTTTTCCTACCAAAGAAGCCACTTCTAGTTCTCTCTCAAAGACCAGCTCTATTCAACATTTAAAGAATGGCTCTTTTCTTTGTTAGAAACATGAACATAATAATAAGCATATTAAAGGAACAAGTGCTAACATTCTGAACATTAAATAGCTCCCTAGCTTAGGAGAAAGTTACTTTCATGTGAGTTTCATTCAAGAAAAAAAAGTAGTCTTCATTTCATGAAACTAATGTCTGCATAACTTAATCCCGAGATGTTACTGATTAAAATATTTTTCTTCCAATTAACTTTTACAGCTCATGTGGGGGAAGCCAAATTCTATTCCAGTTTGGGCACAATCACATAAATGGTCTGAGCCTTACACCCAGGGGCAAACCATCCACTTCCTCCTTTTTGAGGTAAATATAACTGAGGGCAGAATCTGTAATGCAGAACACCTTGAACTCTGTTATTGCCTGAGTTAAAAGAAATCAATCTGGATACGGTGAATGAAAAGTGAGCACATGTAAAACATTTCTCCATGGATAACTTAGTCTCATTTGCTGTGGAAAGATGTTAATATGCAAAATAATGGGGAAGTCCAAATTAATGTCCTTTTCTTTCTTACTAAGTCACTTTTCAGATTAGAACTGTACCTTAAAATGCAAAAGAGAATAAAAATAGGGAGAAATAGGTATTTACTAACTTAAAATATAATTCTTGTTATAGAATGATAGGGTACAGTTAAAAGAAAAATCATTCACCCTCAGGTGATAGAAAAGACATAAATTTACAGCTGAAGCATACACATTGCTAAGCAATCTGTTTCAATGCAAAGTTATGCTCTCTGCTCTGTATTTTCCTAGTTCTTTACTCAATCTAGTTAAATTATTCACAAGATTACAACCGTGTAGCATCTTGTAATAGCTTTATAGCTGTATTTCATTGGTATATTGGAGGACTTCATCATTAAGAATATAACAGAATTTCTGTCAGCACAGTAAATTTTTTCCTTGCTTTTGATACTGTTTGTAAGACTAAGGCAGATAAGGAGTCAAAAGCAATTCAGACAGTAGTCTCAGTTAAAAAGACAAACCAATTAAATATTTGTGATCTGAATCATGCACTTGAAAAATTTCTGCATGCATTACTTAGAACCCCATTTTTTAAAAAAACAGACTCTTAAAAGCAGATGGTAAGAATAGAGTGTGGTTGCTGGATATCACTGGGAAATTTTATATCCAGTATTCTTCATATGAAAGGCTAATAACTTATACCAAAAAACACTAGCTAAACTACCTGTGTATTTAGGATACCAATGCTTTTTTTCTTGGGGATAGCACCACTCCAGCATCTTGGTTTTTCTTGCTTAAGTAAACCACCAGTGCTAAATAGCTTGTCACAATCATCTACTCATGCTGCTCTTTATTCAGAGGAGTTGTATTTATATTGTTTGAAAAAGACTTTGAGAACATCTGAAATAAAATTACTTATGCAGTTCCTGAACAATTATGTATTGGGTTTTTGGGTTGTTTTTTTATTTTGAAGAAATGTATGATGAACTACTAGATTTAGGACAACATGTGGAGAAGCTTCATTAAACTACACTTTTAAAAACCACGTATCAGTGTACTTGCTTCTTTTCTGTACCAAATATATTGCCATAGTTCTGCTCTACCTACCAAGATGTAATACTTCAGATCACTGAAGTACCATTTCTTCTCAAGAAATACTAACAAAGCATCTGATACCACAATTTTTTCTGAAAAAAACGCATCCTAAATGGCTAAAATAAGAACTTTAATTTTCACTTATTTAAGGTAAATTTTAAGCAAACGTAATTGCACAAAAGCTTTCAAATACTAGAGAGTAAAACCTCAAAGCTAAGTTTGCCGTTCTGTTTCTTACCTTGGTGAAGTAAAATTCTTGTGTCTGAAGGGTGGTAAAACCACTGCTTAATAATTAGTATTGCCTTCCTGAACAGCTAGCAGATACATGCAGGATAGTCAGCATAAAGTATACCCTGATACACAATTTAGTACACAAATATAGCAATGAAATATGGAGCTTCAATGCAAATATATTTTGTATTACTTTTTATTTGTACATGATCTTGTCAGAACCTATATGTAACTACTGAATCTAATATGATCTTAAGAAACCCCGTGTAAGAAAGATTAATGAAGCACTCTAAATAACTGAACGGGCACTGTTCTGCAATTAAAATAATAATAAATTGCTTTCAATATTTTTTGATCTCTACCGAGCTTATCAGCATGAATTATTATCATCACAGGTGACCTTCCAGATGCATGCTGCTTTGTAAACAACCATCCATGTCCGTACAATGTGCACAGGTTACAAGGCAAACAAGACTTCAAGTCCTAAATCTCAAGAGTACCATCTACAACCAGCAAAACAGATTATTTTAGGACTTCACATGATTTTAAAAGAGTCAATGAAATTCAACTGCTCTCCAGCTTTCAGGACAGAAGCAAGTATTCTCCCCAAAAGCTCTGTCCCTCATTATTTCTGCTAATTCTATTTCTAGGCTACTCACAGTAGACCTAAGTTGTCCTTACCTTGTAAAATAGTATGTCACAACAGCCCCTGCTACTGTCATCTGCTGACAGGCTAGAATAAACTCGCTGATCCAGATGAGTCCCACTACATGGTACCACCACATGTATTTCAAAGGACCTACCATCCGAAACTCAACAAATCCTTCTTCATTTGGGACAGGACTACCTAGAAATAAATGAGGGTAAAAAAGGAAATGGTGCTTACATCAACTCAGAAAGACAGATGCATATGATATTAGCAGTTCATAAACATGTACAGCAGAACCCCTCTAGCTTCTACTAATAGTTCTAAATGTCATGTTTAGGAAAATTGTTCATAAGAAATAGTTTTTGAGACAGTATAATGGCATTTGAAAAAGCACTAAAAAAAATATTCTGAGCATACTCAAAATCCCACAACACTTCTTTTGATTTTTAGCGACCTGGTGAAAATTTCAAAAACTAACCACCATCAAGTAGCAAAAATTCTTCTAATTAAACACAGAATCATAGAATGGTTTGGGCTGGAAGCGACCTTAAAGACCATTGAGTTCGAACCCCCCTGCCATGGGCAGGGACACCTCCCACTAGCCCACGTTGCTCAAAGCCTCATCCAGCCTGGCCTTGAACACCTCCAGGGATGGGGCATCCACAGCTTCTCTGGGTAACATACTAGAAGCCTGCTTCAGTCATTCTTAATTTCAGTCTGCTGATCTGTTGATATTACTCACACAGTGAGAAGAAATACTAAACTTCAAAGCTCCTCACATCCAGATGCCAACATTAACAATCACTTTTGTTTTCCTTATGGTAAGTTTTTGTGCATGTATTTCTACAATATTTGTAGCTTTAAAGGTATTACAGACATAAGGCGCAGCTTTAGAGATTCTAATGACTTCATACATTCAGAAATCCACTGACACTTTGTCTAACCTGAATAACGATACAATGTATTGATACTGACAGCACATGTCAGACCCTCCTAATAGAAGCTCTATTTCAACAGTTAACCCACATTGAGATGTTTTATCTTTAGAAGTTATGTGAACAGCTGATGAGATTCAGAAAAAGACTGAAAGTAACATCACACGTATAAAATTCTTACCTCAAAAACAATTGTTTTGACTTAGCATTGATTGCACCTTCTCCACCTTCTTAGCTATGGTTTTACTGTTACATACAAAAATACTATTTTCTTGTGAATAAACTGAACTATTAAAATAATTTCGATTTTAGTGAACAAGCTCTTTTTAAGTGTAGGTTTCTTCTCACACGGATAATGTACACTTTTTTAGTTCTCCTGGTTTGGAATGAAAAGCTCTGGCTCTACTTGCACAATTATTTTATTTAACTGATATCAGTGAAGATACTGAGTACATATAAAGCTAAAAGCATAAATCAGGCTTTGTATTATCAAGGCCAAGCAAAGAGTTCTGTCAGTAAAATATATTAGCCTAAATTCTGCTACAAATTTAGTCCTTGTGCAGTGGTCTTTAACTCACAGAGTGAAGCATAAGACTGAGACTTATTCAGTTTCAGAAGTGAACATTTTCTGCACATAGCCCAGCATGTAATGAAAATTTAAACATTCAACAGTAACAAGAGCAAGAACAAGTGAATTCTATTACTTCTATCCCTGGCTAAGAATTTAGGCTATGAAATCAAAAACACTTATTTTGTATTATCCTGAAATAGCTCAGTGACTTGAAAGACTGATACTTTTGGATCTGCAGTAAACAATAAACTCCAAAATTCTAATGTTTTAGTAATGCATGATGGTCTCTATTGCCTACAACTTACTGCAAAATAACACAGACATCTCCAAAGCAGTTGCTAGGTTTCTTTGCTGAAGGAACTTAGATTTGGACCTATAGGATCGACTAATTCCGGAAACTCTTGTCAGACCATGAACACAAACAAAGCTCTCGTCTTCTACGTCCTTCACAGCAGGCAGAAATTGAGAATAAATCAGCTACACTCAGAACACAGTGTAGAAAGAATAATCTCCCTAATAATCCTGAAAAATGCTGAAATAATAATACTGGACACTTAAGTTATGAACAAATGAAAACTAACTCGTGTATATTTACATTTTGGAGACAGTAATTGTGTGCAACAGCCTTTTCATTACTATGTCTTCATCTGTGTGAGTACTGGCTACAATACAATACCTTATGAGATTAGCTACAAGATTAGGAGGTTTTTAACCTGTTTGTCTACAGTTAGAGAGTATTATTTGAAAAATTGTTATAGTAGTCTTATTAATGGAGTCTTGCAGTTTGCAACACGCCAACTTGAACCAAACCTAAAAGACGGCCTAAGGCACAGTAACGTAATACTAGGAAGACAGACTCAAACACACAACAACTTTCTTGAAACAAATGTTTTGAAGACACTGAAGCAGACAAGAACAGAAGCACAATATGTGGGTTCTTTTTCCTAGAGTCTCCCACGTGCTTTTTAACCAGCTCTGCCTGAAACTATACAAAAAAGATGTCGAACTTTTTTAAAACAAGCCTGGTAGCTGCTTACCTGTAGTCCCCAGGAAAAGCAGGACTGTGATCCAGTATGTCCAGAAGAGGATAAGCACAAAGAATGTCCAAAATGGCTGGAAGACTAGCAGCGGCAGGTGAATGAAGACCTTGCCGGCCACATGGAACAAGGCAATGGTGAGAGCTACTCGTTTGCGCATAATTAACATTATCAAGAGCAAGATGACCTAGAGGGAGAAGTTTCCAAATCACATTTTAGAGAATTGAAAAATAAGCAAGCTATTATTTTGCACAGCTAGGATATTCAAACATGGCAAATAAGATCATAGGATCAAAATGTAAGACCTCTAGCAGCTTCTCCTGGTGATAAATTATTTTCCAAATTATACTTTTGGGGAATTCCAATCTCGTAATTATGTATTTGGAATCATCATCAGCTTCAGTGTGATTAAATAGACCAGATTTTACCTTCAATTACATTTTACAAACCAGTGAAACAAGAAGATTTAACAAAGAATACAATTTAACATTTGTATTTGAGCATGGTGTGGTGGTCTTGCCACAGAAGTTAGCCAAACATTATCAATTTTTAGTAGTAAGGTCAGTGACTCAGAAACCAACAGCAAGGCTTAAAGAAGATAAATTGGTCCAGTAATCAGCATCACTATTTCAGTTCACAATGATCCTCCTATAACTGGACAAATTTGGGAACGACTGATTTCAGAAGTAGGAATGGTCTAAGGACTTTCAAATAAACTGAAATGACTAAGTACCTCTGAACTGGGAACGTAAGAAAAATCTCATAAGTGAAATTGAACTGGGAGGCCAGTATTGTACCTATTCTTGGAAGTCCCTGTGGACATTTTACAGCAGAGAAGAGTAGCTGCAGAGTTAGGAACTTTCTCCTATGTCAAAACCAGACATTAGAGAACAATGCCTGGAAGTTAAAATAAATAAATAAATAAATAAATAAATCACTGCAACAGAGCTTGCAGTAGAAATAAACTCTCCAAAAATGTATGCAATATAAACCTTTCACCTGAAAAAAAGAGACCACCAGGAAGACAGAACAAGAAAATAATATAGTCATTAGCAAAGCGTACCGTGAAGACTGTAGCTGAAATGGCATAGATCAGGAGAGCCTGAAGATTATCTTTGGCTATTTGAGTCTCAACAGCATTGGCAGATATTCGTTGCTTAGCATAGAGCCACCACAGGACTCCTGTACCACCTATGTTTTAGAGAGAAAAAAAAAAGCACAAATGCAAGATGGTCTTTCTATGTGACAGTCATACTAACTAGTACCAAAGAAATTAAACAGTTTTTTCTTTATAGATCTAGTCTGCTATAGTATACTCAAAGGCACTGATACTTAACCCATCAGGAACTTCTGAGAAGTGCCTAGTTCCCCTCTGTTGCCCTCTTCTCAAGGGGATATACTCTTTTCACAGTCTCACCCCACTACAACCAGTTAAGAGACTTGCAGCTCTTTGACTCTGTATTTTAGGATGAAGTACATGAAGGGACTAGTTCATGAGGAACCCTAACAATGAAGATCACAGCCCTCATTAGACAGGCAAGAGGGAAACAAAAAGAAGAATAAAGAGTTAAATGGTAGGATGTATTGTATATAAATGTAGAATAACGTAGATAGTAAGAATTTAGGAGGGGGAACAGACAGGGACTTTTGGATTAGGATGCCAAATAAGATAAACAAAAGAAGGAGTCTACAACTCCTGGGAAGACTAATTGAGAAGGAACAGCCCTGATGCTGAAAACAGCACCTCAGGTTAATGACATGTAGCTACACCTGCATCAGACAATGTCTTGATCACTGGAAAATACATCAGTGAAAGGCACAGGAGGCCAATATAATGTGAGGTACTTTCCTCTAACCTCTGTTGCAAAATCCTAGCCTTATGGCCAGAATATCATTCTCCTATTCTAGCTACCTTTCCAAGGTAGAACTTCTCTTAAATACAGGACCTCAGCCTCTCGTGGAGATAACCACTCCTCTCTGATACAGTTTTTTTCTCTTTTGAGTATCCTGCTGCATTCTGTTGCTATTTCTAAATCAGATGCATAAGCTTATCTAGAGATAGTAAGTCTTTGATAAAGGTACTCCGTTCAGATCTGAAATGGAAGATGCTCTTTTGGCAGGTTCTAACAGTGAACAGAGAATAAGCAGTACGTCTCACAAATGACATGTTCTTATTCAGTGTGTGTAATGGATGTAATTTTTTAGAACATGCTAACAGATGGCAATAAGTCAATCAACTCTTTTATTCAACATAGTTGCTCAGCTTCTAAAGAGGACATAAATTAAAAAAAAAAACCAAACTATTTTTTCCTTTTCTGTAGTCACAGGTCCTGAGACCAGTAAGCAGAAAACCCAAGTGATCCTGAAAAAATAGATGGTCTGCTGATTTTTTTCCATCCCTTGTAGACATGAATTGCAAGAATTAAATTGCTAGTGCTTCCTAATTTGATTATTCTAACTTTGTTGCTTCTCTACAGTCATCTGCCCCTACATTTTGGCTTAGCTACTCAGTATCAACAATAGAAAACTATTTTTACAAAAGTAAAAGTTAATTTGATAAAGTAAGGCTATTTTCATGCAAGCTACATCATTTTGGATGAGACAATCTTTGGCCATTCCCAAGATGGCATGGCTGGTTGTATTTCATACATGACCTAGGTCATACAGGACTTTCTGAGTCATAAGGAAATACAAAGATTCGATTAGAAATGCTAGAAAAGCATCTTTACTTCCTCTCCTCAAGAACAGGTCTTAGATACACCTACAGAGCTACTCAGAGGACTAAAGGGACTGATGATGAACATGTCAGGGTTGTGACATCTACCTCCTAAGGTCCCCTGAGGCTGCATAAACGATAGTTGCCCTTTGATTCCTGCATGTTTGAGTATGCTCAGTGGGTAGTTATGCCGTCAGACACACCCAGACTAGCTGCCTTGCTGACATGTTTGGAAGGCAGGTTAAGAAGCAGGTGATGTTTAGGGCTGTGCTACAAGTGCTGTGGGCTCTAGTGAGATAGGCTGACAGGAAGCTTGCCAGCTAAGCAGGGTGTGCAGCAAATCTCTAAGGCGTGATATACTCTCTGGGAGAGGACTGCAATTACAAAGGTGGCATTTTTTATGTATGTCTTTCAAGGGACACAAAAGAAAGCTGAAGATGGTCCAAGATCTGTGCAGGATGTAGCTGGCGTGAGGACATGGAGCACAAAGATTAGAACTGGCTACTCAGAAACTGGGGGACAAACCAGACTTACCGAGTGATCCCAGAATGACAAGAATTGTTAAAATCCAGACAAGTACTCTTGAAATGTACCTGATTATAACCATCAAAATCATGGACAACACTGCAAAAGAAGACAAATAAAATAATCAGAGCAATTATTTCAAGTAGAAAAAGCCTTCCTAATTATCCCTCTGCATTAAAACAACTGTCTTCCAACAGCATTTTTAGACAGACTTTTTTTCTGAGGCTTAAAAACTCACTGCACAGATGGTTAAGGAAATAGGCACCTCTACAACTTCTGCTTTGATAACTGTTAACTTAAAAAAGGGGAGCACAAACACATTTACATGGTACATTAACTACAAGACATACTGTGTACAAACAGACAGAGACGTATTTAGACAATGACAAAACAGACAGCAAGACATGATAGTACTTGGAGTCTGGTAACATGAGCACACCTCCTGAGGACCAAAGTAGAATTTGCACTCAGATACACTTGTCAAAAAAGTGCAGATAATGTGGCGCCTGTGTATTCCAGAATGTCATGCCAGTAAAAATCAAAGAAATTATGACTTGATTTTCAACATTCAACACAAGTTCTTTAACACGTTTTGCTCATACAGTGCCACTGACATTCAGGAAATGCATGTTAAAAAAACTCTCTACAATCTCAGCCAACTAAGATTTAGTGAGTGGTGTGTAAGTGCACTTTTCGCATATATGTATTTGTGTACAGCACCTACATGAAAGCCACTGGAACCTGGATTTCTGTGTCACACAGTCTTACCCACTGTTTAAAAATAAATGAACTCTGTTTAATTATGAAGGTATGAAAAATATTTTTTAAATTAACTGTATGTAAAACTCTGTACTAACTTCTTACTTGAACTGAACAGTAGTATTCCTAATCAGCCATGAGCTTTCAGATTCAGAACAGTCTCTCCCGTCACTGCCAAATATGGCAACTGTCAAGACAGAAGAATAAACAGCTTTCCAGATACAGCTGAAAAGATACTCAATGGTCTTTTGTGGTTTTTTGGTTTCGGTTTTGTTTTTTAACTGCAAAGACAGACTGAAAACAAAGGACTTCTTTATTTGGTACAGCTTCGCAGGTTTCTTTCTAAACCACATGCTACTCATAAATATGGCTAGAGCCTCCTATTTTAAGATTTTTGATTTTATACTTGGCAGGAGTAAAATAGACTCATCAGGAAAGTAACTTATATGGGTGAGCAGCATTCCACCTTAGTTCACAAGACTTTGTTAGAACAGCACTTCAGCCTAGTGCAATGTGTCACTCTATAGGCCAGGGGCATCTCACAACTGTAGAAATCATGGAGCACCTCCGTACTGCCGGGAATTTCCAGGTCTTCAGACAAGGCTGAGATTTTTCAAAGGCTTGAAATTTTTAATTTTGCAGGAAGGGGAAAAAGGGGGTAACATACAATACAACAAAGTTTCTTGTTTTCCCTCTGAAAGATCGCATATCCCCACACAAGTATGTCAAATGAAACAAATGAAACCCCTACATTGTAGAAGAGTACATTTCTTACCCTGTCCCTTTTATTTGGAAAGGGTTATTTGGACTTGGGTTGTCAGAAGATGAATATTAGAAATGGGAAAAGGGAACACTATAATAAAATTAGGAGAATGGGGATGCTCTGTTAACTATACCAAAACTAATGTTGGCTAATCAGCAGCCATACATCCTCTATCTCATAAGCAGTGGAAGCGGGGAAAAAACAGGAGTGCATATGTATATTGCTTCTGAATAAGTTACCCAGCTGTCAAATAAAATTTTTAAACAGCATTCTGAACCATTTTCTAAGGGCTCGTTGCTACCATACATGTTTTTTGCTCATATTGTGGTTAGAGGGTGTTTACAATCTCCTAATGCAGTACTAAGAAATAGCTAGTAATGAGAAAAACAATTACCTAGTGATAACAAGCAAAGTCCCATTATAATCTCTTTGCTGGTCATAACTCCACTAATCAGCCTGTGTAAGACACTACTGTCACTGACAAAGGTGATCAGGGCCTCTGCAAACTTGGCATAGCAGGAAATGTTCACAGGAGCACAGCGATGGAAGAATGGAATAGGTGCACTGGTGACACAAGAAAAAAAAAATCAGAAAAAAAAATTACTCCCACTTAATATAAATGCCACATCAACACACAAATGAAAGGTGAATAGATGCAACCATTCCACCCTCATAACATCATAACCAGAAACCATGTGCTGAATGTACACGTGCTGCTGGAATGAGGATGATCATAATGGGAAGTGATGCAATTCTTACAAGTAACCCTGTGAGGCTGGAGCGCACAATCCAACAGGAAATTATTACCCTCCCACCCTTAAACAGCAAAGCTTAGAAAATACATGTTCCTACTTCTGCTTAAATGTCTCTCACTTAAGTGTCAGGTGGTGAACCAGGAGCTGAAACAATGCCTTTCACTCATTTTAGAATGGAATACTGGCCCATACTTGCAGCAAAAGAAATCCCAAAATGACAATACTCTTGCAAGAATACATTTTACGCTAAAAGACATCAGCATTTACAACTCCTGATAAGCAAAATCAACTTATTTATCCTTAGTCTTTCCCCATACCAAACTTGCTCTTTTTTTGAAGATTACAATCAGTGTTTACTTTCATTAACTTTGTCAAAATGATGCACTTCTCTGAAAAACATGCAAAGATGCCTCTCTTGTTTCATTATTCCTGAGCTTTTTTGTTAGCATCCTTCCTAAAAATACTGATGCTAAGCACTAAACTTTGCAGAATGCTCAGCAGAACCTATTATCAAGTCGCCCACAGGAAGATACAAGAGAGCAAAAACCCAACTTTAAAAGTGGGTCATTTTGTTTTTCAAACATTTCCCTTTAAGTAGCTGCCTTTTTTGCTCATAAACTATGTCAGATCTCAAAGTGGCCTATTACATCTTTTGAGCAATCTTCCCAACTACACTTTGACATGTTCCATGAATTACATGATCCTTCCTGTAATTGGATCCAATGCAAGAAATGTTTTCTGTATTAAGTCGGTCTTTCCTTCTAACCTCCATATTTGTTTTGCCCTGCCCAATCTTCCTTATTTAAAAGATTTCAGTGGACTGTAGCAGCAATGCACATAATCTTTTGCAGTTTCCCCATTTCAGCAATAACCCATAAACCAGCAATTTTTTGTACTCAATAACTATTTGTTAAGCCTAAGACTTCCCAAAATTCCAACCATCATTTTAAACATGCAGTGAGTAAACCAGCTGGCTTAGGCATATCCCTTCTATGCATTGGCTTTGGAGAGAAAAAGACAACATGCTGAAAACCATTAGTGTGTAATTATCCTGTACAGAATTTGGGATAAATTATGATCACCTGCCACACATAGGTAATCAGTAGTTTTGTTTGAAGTGACTGAAGATTCTGAATTATACGGTTTTAAACTTACTGTGCTGAGTAGGTAAATGCATTTGGAGATGCTCATATTGGTGGTCTACTTTTGGGTAGTGATGAAGGCAGCAGTTAAGTACAGCAAATTAGTCACAGTTGTTAAAAACCAAATTAAACACAAAATGATGGCTGCCCTATCTAAAAGGTGGCCCATGTATCCTCTCAGCCTCTTACAACATAGCCTATTCTGAAATGTGCAGCGTACTGCAGTTTATTATACACAGTAATACTGGAAAAGACTGAAATTTGAGAGGTTTATTTCATTGTTAACTGCTCCAACTTTGCAGAAAGCATAGAGCATTTAGAAGTTGTCAATATTAGTAACAAAGCTCAAATTTTGAGCTGGGAGTAGGCAATGGACTGCCATTGCTGCATCCAAATACAAAAATATCCATCTTGAAAAGGGATCAAAATACTATTAATACTGATCAAAATACAAACCAACAGAGGAAGACACCCTTTTTGCATACCAGAGTTTATATTAGTCATCTGACATCCCTTAAACTCTAGAAATTTCAGTACACATTTTAAGTTACCTATTTTCATGTGCAATAATTAATGTCTAGCTTTGTTGTAATTAATTAAAAAATACGTTTAGTGGTTCCTACAAGCTTTGAGTAAATGGGACTCCTGGGAATCCACCTTATGAGATCTGCTGCTGTTTCAGTGGTTCTAACTGAAACAGTAGGCAAGCTAAGGTGCCTTGTTTAATAAAAAATACAATAATAGATCTATTCTCCATGACTTGTCCTATTTTATATGGCCTCTTGATTATAACTTGGTATATTACATACTGAAATGGAATTACAAGTTTCTGAGAATAACAACATGATTAATCATGAATAAGAGCAAGTAAAGTTCAAGCCAGCAGAAGATGGTGTTAAAAATTGTATTTTTTAACTCAAATGAAGTTAAGAGAGTCATCTGATTGTTCAAGTATTAGATTTCAGAGGACAGCTTTTTCCTCTCACTACTACACTTGGGCATACACAGCAACCTCTGTGTGGGGAGCTTGGCTGAAATGCCACTGCTAGCTGCTCTTTGTAACTTCTACAGGGCAGCCCCTTGGCACAGCTCAGCACAGCTGGATGACAGATAAACACTGCAAGGAAAAGATGGATAGGTTTTCCTCTAGGGTCTTCTAAACAGTGGAGTCATGCTCTATAGAAGCTGAAATATGCTAGGTACAGTTTCTGGAAAGAACATGTATCACTGGCTGCATGGCTATGCTACGCTGCTGTGTCAAAGTTGGACGTAATGTCTTGAAGCTGGAGGATCAGAGTCCCTTGAGAGGTGGATCTTCAACAAAAGGGCATGAGGAAGCCTGGTCAAAGAGAAAACATCAAGGGACAGTCCTCACAGCATACCCTGCCTCCACCTCATGGACCTAATGAGAATCAGATGATGGTTCATACTTACGACAGATCAAATCTGAGAACAGGGGTGTTAGGTAAGTTCTCCCCGAATGCCTCAGCCTACAGGGCAGTGGGTTTTCATTTGTTTGTCTCCACAGGATTCCATTTCCCCTCCAAACTACACTAATTTACTCAAACAATGTAACTATAAAAATCTGAAAAACAGAGTGGTTTACAGATATAATATTGGCCTTTTTTTTCCTTAGGGCATTAAGTTCAGGCTTTTCAATCTCAGAAATATTTGAACATATTGTACATTTTATTCATATAAAATAAAAAAGGGGAAATACTCCACCTATGCAATAACTTTTCAAAAATAACTCCTGAGACAGATTTAGTGAGGAATCTACACACTGTCATTAGAACTCTGACACACTGTTTTAACCTTCTGTTTTCTTATTCATTCAGACTGAATGATATGGGAACACACAGTGAGGAAAGTCAATATAATTCTGGCAAAAATTAAGACTGACAAGCTTTTTCATTATGCAAGCTGGCACTGAAGTTTTCATTTGTTTTTGTATCACAGCTATAACAGCTGGCTAGCTGCATGTAATATTAATCTTAAAGTGAAAAAAAAAAAAGTTAATATTCCAGCTGCTACTTATTGTCACTACAATATAAAAAAAAATATTCACTGGAGGGGCTACGCAAGAGAGACTTCAAATCAGAGTTTTTAGAACTGACAAATTATAACATTTAATAAAACCATAGAAAAGACTCTGCAGTTACAATCCTCTACTGAATACATCTGAGAAGCTAAACTTTGAGAAAACAATGTGATTCTTCTTGAGTGAGTGGAATTACTGACAGAAGTGTGTGCACAACAGCAAACAGATCACTTCTTTCTCAGTAGTGCTCATCTCCACAGTTCCAGCCAGCACAGCTAGCAGGGTTTCTGGAGCTATGAACTTGCTATCCTACTTCACAAAAAGCAGTCTAATATAATAAGTCTAATAAAACTCAAATTGATCTGTTTATAAAATACAGCCCTCTTTTGGTAATTATTATGTCCCCATATCCTTTCAGTCATTTGGGACTGAAAGAATGACAAACGAAGCAATTTGCTAAATCTGACTGGCTGAGGTAAGGTATAAGAAATGGATACTGCAGAGAGCTACGTGTCAATATATCCTTTTTCCTCCCAAAGATCTAAAGTGCTCCACAATTGTCTCTGATCTGTACTGCTGACAGGCAGCTGGCTGTAAGGTGAAAGGCAGTAAAACAGCTGATACTAAGCACAGCATCAGTTACATGAGGTAAAAGAGAACTTGAAGACACCAGCTCAATATTCTCAGTAAGACGTGCATGGATAGTTTGGGTTTTTCTTTAAGAGTTGTTTTGACAGTCTTTTAAAAACATGTGGCCATAATACACTAAAACATCTACCTGTAAGAATAAATCTGTACTACATACTTTCTAAAGCACTGTTGTGAACACAACAAATCTCCGCTCCCTTCACCCCCAATCAGACAAGATGTTAATATTACCTCTCCGGAACAGGATATTTAGGACATAACTTGGCGGCCCTTGGGTCTGTAGTGTATTCCGATGGCTGTAGTTCATAGCTACATAGAGAAGATCCTGTTGAGAGGAAAAAGAAAAAACAGGTCGATGTGGAAAAAAAAATCAAATATTCTTATTCTTTGCAAATGGTATTAAAACTGATACAGGTCCTGATTCTGCAGCTCCTCATGTCATTACCACAAAGTTATGCTACAGTTCCTCCTGTAATGGAACAGTGAATCAAGCCCAACACAGGCTTCAGTGTAACAGAATTACACTCTCCATCTAGCTCTGGGTCTTCCAACATTTGTGTATTCCAGTGGAAAAGGCTAATTCACAATGCAGTGTAAAAGAGGACAGAAAGCACTTTAAAGTCACCCTCCCTTGCTACTTCATCATGCTTTTTCTTGATCATTTTTAGTGTATGAATATTGCATAAGACAACTTTCATTACAGAAAGAAAACATTCAACTGGGTTGGTTGGGTTTGGTTTATTGGTGGTTTTTTGGTGTGCTTTCAAAATACAACCAGTCTATAGACTTCAGGGAGAAGAACAAAGGAACCAAATTCCTGAAGTTAGAAAGTTGTCTGAAAAATAACACAAGCTCTGCATTAGATGTCTAAAACTTTTAATGAAGCTGAACTCTCTCCACAAACAAATTGGTACAGCACAATAAAGTTTCCTACAACAAAATTCAAACATAATTTAAAGTTTTCTTAGTACCTGACACTTGCCTAATGGAATTACATTACCTGGACAGATCTCTTTCCATCTGTCTATAATCAAGGTACTGAACATCTGAGCCAATGCTTCTAGAAATATGGCAACTGCCAAATTAGATTGGAACACCAGTTTCCCAGACACTGGAGGAAAAGGTAAGAAAGACTCCAATTGTGTAAGCTGCCTATCCAAAGATGAGTTTCTTCCCAAGCTTGTTTGTTAACAGGTTGCTTACTGGACACATAGCCTTTAGTATTCTTTTTTTCCTACATAATAACCTAAAGACATTTTGATCATCCCTATAAATATTCAATTCTTTCCATTAAGAAAGTCTCCTCTCCAGAAATGCTTTGTAGCAGAGAGTTCTACAAACTGGATCTGGATAATACATACACAACTTTATCCAAACTAAACCAAGACTTTTAACAAACAGCCTTATCAGCCTTATCTTTGCCTATGTGACATCAAACAGGAGCATTTTTTGTAGAAACGGTAGATATTATTTGCAGAAATCTTGTTTATCATTGCCACACTGCTAGCTCTATGAAGAGACATCTTCTATTTACAGGCTGAAAGAGGAGACAGAGAGCAACCAAGCAGGCTGTCCCCTGCAGTCTCTGGAATGCTACTTAAATATCATTTCTACAAATTAGTTTTTTGGGGACAGGTCCGAAACACCAAATCTACCACTGAAGAAAGTTAGATTTCCTGCAAAGAGAAGGTATCGGGTAAAACAAGTGAACTCCATTTTCAGTTATACTGTTAATACGAACCCTTATGCCTCTACTTGCTTATGTGGAAAACAAGGCACCAGATAAACAGACATCAGACAAAGCTACTTCCTTACATACTAGTTGTAAATGTAGTACCTAAAAGTAATTATTATTCTTTTTGGACAAAAAGCTCTACACTGCTGCAAAATTATCTAATCTGTTCTTATAGATATGAAAACTTCTGGATTAAGTGCATCTACAAACAACTCCACAATTTGATGGAAGGGCAGCAGTAGAAAGAGTTACATGTTTATCTTAAAAACAGAAAGAAAAAGATTGCCGATATTTACATTTATTTTATTTGGCTTTGAATGGGGGCCAAAAGCTAAGTTACAAAGATGGTCAACAGCCAGCTGTATATGAGCCAGCAGTGTGCCCAAGTGGCCAAGACCAATAGCGTCCTGCTTTTATATCAGAAATAGTTTGGCCAGCAGAACGAGGGAAGCGATCATCCCCCTGTAGTCAGCACTGGTGAGGGCACACCTTCAATACTGTGTTCAGTTTTGGGCCCCTCACTGCAAGAAAGACACTGAGGTGCTGAAGTGGGTCCAAAGAAGAGCAATGAAGCTAGTGAAGGGTCTAGAGAACAAGTCTTTCAAGGAGCGTCTAGGTTGTTTAGTCTGAAGAAAAGAAGGTTGAAGGGAGACCTTATCACTCTCCCAAACTACCTGAAAGGAGGTTGTAGTGACGTGGATGTTGGTCTCTTCTCCCAAGTAACAAATGACAGGACAAGAAGAAATGGCCTCAAGTTGTGCCAGGGGTGGTTTAGATGGGATAGTAGGAAAATCTTCTTCACCAAAAGGGTTGTCAAGTATTGGAACAGGCTGCCCAGGGAAGTGGTTGAGTCACCATCCCTGGAGGTATTTAAAAGACATGTAGATATGGTGCTTAGGGACACAGTCTAGTGGTGGACTTGGCAGTGTTAGGTTTACAGTTGGACTTGATGATTTTAAAGGTCTTTTCCAACCTAAATGATTCTATGATTCTATTCTATGATTCTATGATGAGAACAAGAAGTTCTACAGGAAGCAATGAGGGGAGCATGTATGTGGACAACCATATACAGATTCATGATACAGAATGTTCAGTGCCAGCTTTGTCATTTTGCCATTCAACACCAGCAGCATTGAACTACAGTTTATGTATCTTATGCAAAGGCCCCCATACCTAAATGAGCCTAAGAGGCATGGCTGATCTGTGGATTCCCATGCTCCTTTGTGACAGAACACAAAAAGGGTAGGATTTGCTAAGGCCAGGGAAGGGGGTTCAAAGCTCTGCACGAATGGGTATCTGAAAACCTTCTGTTTGGATCACAAACGTAAGCCAAGTGAAACCAAACACCAGATACTGATCTGCACACAGGCCATAAGCCATTCAAGTAGGGCTTGTAGACTAGGGTAACACAGCAAACCCCTGGCTGTGGAAGAAACGGGAGACACCTTGCCAGGTCCCTCTGGAACCCAATGGCATGTTCCATCCTGCCACGCAATGGAGCAGTTGATGACTCTGGCTGCCATTATCACTTCTTGCCTGGGAATTGCTCATGGGGGTCCTTTGGATCTCTTCCTTTCAGCTGTCTACCTCATATAGCGTGCTTCTTTAGACTCTCTCCTAGTCAAGAAGAAAAATATTTTCACAGAGCTTGTCAGACAAGGGACATTAACCACCCTGCATCTAAAGAAACTACCAGTCCAGTAGCTGAAATAATGCCCATGAGGTTTATTTGTCCTTTTGTCCTGTATAAGTAGGCAGACTACATTTTTATTATTCCCATAAATATTTCTTTCTCGGTATTTCGAAAACCTCCCAACTTCTTTAATACTGTGTAGAAAGAGTTTTACAACCCTAATATGTGCTTGAGTAATACAGCACTTTACATCAAACTTAAAGAGTCTCTGTGCATCAATAAATAAAAGTTTCAATTTTGTAAGGTGAGAGTGGGAAGAACGAACTGCTTTGACAAACCTTCCACCCCATACCAGTCATTCTGGTTTAGCAGAGACTGTGTTAGCACAGCCAGTCTTGTTACTGCCGTTTGAGTTTGCAAAGCCTGCAAAAGTTTAAAGAGGAACTTGAATCATCTACTTTGCTGAGATAATTAGTTTACCAAAGACAATACTGTTTTTCCTAAATTATTATAACTTGTAAATGTCTGAAAAACATTATGGTTAGAATTCAGAGAACAAACTAAAAAATCATTAAAGTAAGACATCCTTTGCTTCCTATAGCAATGCATGTATTTATTCTGGAGAAATCATTAGGAGAATGACATTAAGCTGTCCTACAGGGATTGGATTTGAGGTACAACATTTTGCAACTTTAAAGAAAAATGTTTCTAAACTATGCAGAGCAACAGCTTCCAGGCTACTGGTGAGCACACAGAGTTGGTCTCACAGTGCTGTATTTGGTGCTTTCACCACAAAGTGGTATCGTGGAGACACAACACCACAGCTTCTTTCTGTGGTTTCTTTTCCATGAACAGAGTTGCTCCAGCCCTTGGAATATTTTGGGGCCATGACTGGAGCAAAGTATCTCAAAAGACAAACTTTTCTTTCAACCTTAACCTAGCCACAGGAATGACGGTCAAAATTTCCTTTAAAAGCTTTCTTTCTGTTTTGGCTGGGACTGGATTAGGAAGGAGTGGAACAGCTATTATTTCTGGCATTCCTAAAATGCCAGGTACATTTAGCACAAATTATGTGAAGATCCTGTAGAGAGCCAGGGCAAAGATGGGGGACCAAACTCTTACTTCCAAGATTCTTTCCAACTGAGAAGGCAAATTATTACAGGTCTTGGGTGCTCAGAAGACACAGCAAACAGAACAAGTGGCTTTCCACAGCAGTACAGAAAATAGGAAGTCCTGTACTAACCCAAGGTGGCTAGATAAAACTACTTTTAGAGACCAGAGCTCCAGTACAGCTTTCCTTCGTGTATTTGCTGTGTTGTAAACAAACACACAACCCCCCTGCTACATCAGCATCACTATCCATATCAATATTTACTGCTTGAGAAATGGTAAGACTTCGTACGTCATCCACTAAGAGGACTGCCCCACAGAGGAAACCACTGACACTAATACTGCTTCAGTGATAGTGGTGGAAAGCACACTGGGGCTTCTGGATCCCATTCTGAGCTGCGTACCCAACACTGTTAGCAGCAACTAAAACAAGGACTTTCAGTTCTAAAAGCATGGACTCATATTCAGAGTCAAGGATTTAAGCAGAAAAATACAGAACTATGCAGAGATACCTGGGATAACTTCAGTACCAAGAGCAGAACAGTGACCTTAGGAGCACATTCTGCTTAAGATATCACAGCTCCAAGCAGCTCCACATATCCCTTTTAACAGGCACATGGCAAAGCACAGCAGACAGTCTAGAAACCACAGTTTTGATAAGGTATTTTATATGATTTTCCATGTATGGCTTCACCATTCTGAGTCTGACTGACAGTATGCATGTATTGTGTACATGTGACATAACTGACTTCTAAAAGACCATATGATGAAGCAGCAATTATAGTTAAAAAAGTCAACATCTTATTCCATTTTAAGCATTCTCTCTCCTCAAGCAACATCCTATTAGTCCATCAGTAACATAAGTCCTCTAACACAGGAACCGAACTTGAGGTAATCACAGATACAGAAAGCTGCAGAAATGTTAGCAGGAGTGAGACTGTTTAAATCACAACTACTGGCCTCTGTACTTTCACCCAGTGCTAATTCCTCTCTGGTTCTGGGTGTTTTACGAGTGTCACTAATGAAAACACAGCTAACATTGTGAATACATGACTCACAGATGATTTTGCTTGACCAACCCATGCAATACAAGCTACAGGTATTGACAGCTGGATATTGACAGAGGTGGAGTTCCCTGGTATTCAGGAAGGACGAGGCTCCTAGACTCTCACAAGGACTAAATTCTCAACACTTTTCTACTTTTCTCACTCCACAGCTTGCCTCAAATCTATCTGTCGAACTCTATCAGCTCTAAACTGTCAATCTGGAGCACATTACCAGTCCAAAGCTTCAGGCAATGAGACAACTTGGTACACTACCAATAACTGCATATTATCTGAGCATATTATGGACCAGTAACACGGCATAAAAAAGTGGAAGCTCAAGACACTGGCTCATGTGCATCTGCAGGGATTCTGCTGCAAATTCCACAGCCAAAAACCACAGAACAGGTAGGATGCCAAGCACTACAAGAAGGTAGGAAGTTACTATCTATTGCTGACTTCTGCCAGTAACAAAGAACAATGCTGCAAGGCCTCAGAAAAAGAGTGCCTGTGAGCAGTAATAACAAGCCTTTCTCTTAATGAACTCCTGCCAAGTAGAAAAAAGTTCAGGACATCATGAAAGGAAATAC